GATAGATAGATAGATAGATAGATAGAAAGAGAGGGATGAAATCAGATAAGAAATTAGTTTGAGGGAGGTGACCCTGAAAATTAGAGCCATTAGAAGCCCATCTGTGAAGACCACAGGTAAGACTTCGCCTGCTTTAACCTTAGTGGAAATTCAATTAAAAGCAGGGCAGGAAAAGACAGCAGCCATATGTCTCATGCTCAGATGAGTTCTCCTTACACTTCAGGATGAAGTCATGGGTAGACTGATACACCAACTCTTGAAACCAAAACGCCTGCTTTTCACTTCTGTTTAAAACTTAAACAACATGAAGTGATGTGGGTGGATTGCCATCAAGGTCACATTGCACACACAGATAAATGTCTTCAGACGTGTATAGAAACATGTTTATCTCTGCCTGCTGTTTTTGTCACTTTCTCCTTCAGTCTCAAAGGAGGGAGGCTTTATCGGCTCACTAAATTAGTCTATTGACTGCCTGATGAGCTTGAGAGAAACTTCCTGACTGCCTAAAACAACCTGAAACTGACAGTCATAGTATTAAAAAAACACAATGAAGATCTATTCAATTCTCAATTATTTCTCCTAGACACAACTGAGAGCAAATTTTCATTAAAGTCACATCAAGTTGAAGTATGTAATTCCTGTGTCACTAGCAAAAAATAATGACTGTTACAGACAAGTTTCCATGAACACTCACTCTAAAACAGTCAGTCCTGCAACCAAATTTGGGGAAGTCGTGGCCTAATGGTTAGAGAGTCGGACTCATAACCCAAAGGTTGTGGGTTCGAGTCTCGTACCGGCAGGGATTGTGGGTGGGGGGAGTGAATGTACAGCGGTCTCTCCCACCTTCAATACCATGACTGAGGTGCCCTTGAGCAAGGCACCGAACCCCCAACTGCTCCCCGGGCGCCGCAGCATAAATGGCTGCCCACTGCTCCGGGTGTGTGTTCACGGTGTGTGTGTGTTCACTGCTGTGTGTGTGCACTTTGGATGGGTTAAATGCAGAGCACTAATTCCTAGTGTGGGTCACCATACTTGGCCACATGTCACGTCACTCACTCAAATGCACAATATTAGTTGACTGAAAGTTGTGGCGTCAAGCGAATCAGACACTCAAATAAACAGTGTAATGTTTGAAAGCACCACTGAATCACAGTGTTTGCAAGATTTGGAGAACTGTACAGACAAATGGCTTGCTTTAGATTATTCTTTACATTAATTTGGAATAAGAAAACATAATTTTACATCACACAACATTAACAAAAAATGACACATCACATTTGCACTTTTTTACTCTGAGACAGTAATCTCACATGCGAGTTTCAGAAGAGATCTCAACAGTGTCACAAATGCTTCAGATTTGCAGAAATTCAGAGATCTCCATATGAACTACCAACAACTTATCCGAGCTATACAGCCTACATTCATCTCATAACTTTATACTCTTACTACAGTATATGACAATAATTGTCTAATTGATGTCCCCTAAAGCATTTTAAAACAAACATCTAAGACAAAGTTGATACTTCAAAGAACCATATAACTGAAGCTATAAAAGAGCAGCCTTGAGCAAAAAAATGAGAAATATACAGACTTATACAGTAAAAGAGAGTCTCAGTGAAAATATTGTAGATTATCATCCATCAAAAATGTCAAACATCTAAACATGCACAGGATCTTTTACTTCTCTCTCTCTTTATCTCTCTCACACACACACGCGCGCGCGCACACACACACACACACACACACACACACACACACACACACACACACACACACACACACACACAGCCTTA